TTAAAAAAGGAAGGTAATTTTAGCATATGAATCAACCTTGGAGATCTTATCCCAATAAGCTGGTCACAAAATGACAAAACCACCCAGGAATCCTCTCATGAGGTGCTGGGTGCTGAGAAGTTGAATTTAGAGACAGAATATGAGCCGGGCAGTGGTGGCGCACGCCTTTAATTCCAGCACTCCACTCGGGAGGCATAAGCAGGTGGATCTCTGTGAGTTCGAGGCCAGCCTGGTCTACAGAGCAAGTTCCAGGACAGGCTCCAAAGCTACAGAGAAACCCTGTCTCAAAAGACAAAAAACAAACAAAAAAACCAGACAGAGACAGAATGGTGATTACTCCGGATCTCTGTGAGTTCAAGGTGAGCCTGATCTACAGAGTGAATTCCAGGATATTCAGGCCTGTTAGACGGGGTCTGAGGTTCTCTCCACCCTAACGAGAAGTGGAAGCTAAAATAGTCACTTCCTGGGGACTGTCACGTTATCATCGTTAGTCACTGACACCTGATAATTCCTCCTGAGAGCACAGGAGACCCCAGTTATCTGAGGAAGTCCAATGTAATAAACATCTCCTGGGGGAAAGACTAACTCACTGTGTCAGCTCTGAACTCAGTATCTGTTCAGACACAGGAGGAATTCTATGGCTGGTTACCACGAACCCCTCTGAGGAGTTAGGGCTGTGTTTAACGTAGCAGCTGCTCCTAAGCTCCAGACAAAAGCTGGTAGCAGCTGAGGCAAAGCAGAAGGAAGGGAGCGCAAAGGGGCGAGCAGAATCCTGACAGCGGCTGCTATGAAAAGCCAGCTACGACGGGACAGAGTAGTCTCAGGATACGTCCGCTGTGACTGTGAAATTATGACCTGACAGCTCTCATCTGGAGAACAAGGAGGCTAAAGATCTGAATGAAGGCTACACATGCAGATAAGAGACAGTGAAATGAGATTATGAAAGAATCCAACAGGCAATTCTAGAATGTTTCCATTGCTGTCATAAAATCTGCAAGGCTGGGCACTCAAAGGAAAAGAAGGCTTTGTTTACAGTTTGGAGGGCAAAAGCCCAGACAGACAGCACTCGAATCGCCCCATGGCGACGGCACCACACACGGGAACATACAGATGAAAAGGATCACATCCAGTCGGAAGCAGGGGACCGTTCAAGGCTGCACTCACTCCTATAATAATGGGGTTTGGTAGTAACTACCTCAGGGGCCATGAGAATGACCTCAGTCTCTCTCAAGGGTACAGCCTACTGGGTACTAGTCCCACTAGACCACACCCTCAAGAGCTCTACAGCAGGGGTGCCCCTTGGGACGCTCAGAGCAGCTGTTACCCACAGAAGCATGAAGGGAGCTAACAGATTTTTTTTTCCAATTTGTTCAAGAATAGGAAAAATAACATTAATATCACTTCACTGAGAAAGACTTGACCTAAAACTGTATCAAAAACACTGATGACAACTTATGCTGGAGAGGTTGTGGGGAAAAGGGAACACTTCTGCATTGCTGGTGGGAATGCAAGCTGGTATAACCCCTTTGAACGTCAGTGTGGCAATTTCTCAGAAAATAAGGAAACAACCTTCCTTAAGACCCAGTAATACCACTTTTGGGTGTATATCCAAAGGATGCTCAATCGTGCCACAAGGACATGTGCTCAACTATGTTCATAGCAGCTTTGTTTGTCATAGCCAGAACCTGGAAACAACCTAAATGCCCCTCGATCAAAGAATGGATAAAAAAAAAAAAGTGGTATATTTACATAATGGAGTACTACACAACAGAAAAAATAACGACAACTTGAATATTGCAGGAAAATGGATAGAACTAGAAAACATTATTTTGAGTGAGGTAACCCAGAGACAGAAAGACAATTATCACATGTACTCACTCACAGGTGGTTTTTAAACATAAAGCAAAGAAAGCCAGCCTACAAACCACAATCCCAGAGAACTTAGACAAAAATGAGGACACCAAGAGAGACTCACATAGATCTAATCTACATGGGAAGTAGAAAGTAGAAAAAGACAAGATCTCTCCTGAGTAAATTGGAGCATGGGGACCTTGGGGGAGCGTTTAAGGGACAGGGGAGAGGCAGGGAGGGGAGCAGAGAAAAATGTAGAGCTCAATAAATATCATGGAAAAAAAATAAAAATAAATAGTTCATGTCTTCCTTTTCTACTGGCTCTAGCCTCTTCTAAAGTGACTTTGCCTCACCCAGATTCCCAGAGGTGTCTTTTAAGGGGTCTAGTCTAGTCTGGACCCTCTAAAGCCTGCTTTCTACCCCGTAGTCAGAACCATCTTTGGTTAATGCAGATTTGATAGTCTTTCTCTATTAGTCTCTCAGTCATTTTTTGTCTGAATCATTTTATTATTTAATGTGTATGAACATTTCATCTGCATTTATTTGTGTGTAACATATGTGTGCCTGAGAGGCCAGAAGAGACATAGGATTCCCTGGAACTGGAGTTACAGACAGTTGTGAGCTGCCATGTAGGTGCTGGGAATCAAACCTGGGTCCTCTGGAAGAGCAAGCAGTGTTTTTTTAATTTATTTATTTTTTGTTTTGTTTTGTTTTTGAAATGAGTTTCTCTGTAGCTTTCTTTGGAGCTTGTCCCTGAACTCACTTGGTAGGACAGGCTGGTCTCAAACTCACAAAGATCCACCTGTCTCTGCCTCTCAAGTGCTGGAATTAAAGGTGTGTACCACCACCGCTGGCAAAACCAATTGTTTGAACTGCTAAGCTAACTCTAGACCTTCAGTGCCTTTAGTAACAAAATTGAAATCTTGGGCTCAGAAGGCAAAGTTCACTGACACGCAAACCTGATGCCCTGAGTTCAATCCCTGGAGTGCACATAAAGGTATAGGGAGAGAAATGAATCTACAAAGTTGTTCTCTGACTTGTATATAAGCATCACAGCTGTGCACTGCCCCATCGTCATACGCAAATACAACAATAAATAAGATCAGTTCCTCAGAAACATCTCCCCTTTCATGACAGAGACAGTTCAGTCAGTAGAGTGCTTGCTGCAGGAGCACACAGATCTCAGTTTGATCTTGAGAACCCACATTTTACAGAGTTTCGTGCAGCAGTATGTGTCTGCAAACTCAATGCAGGAGGTGGGGCGCAGAGAAAGACGAATGCGTGCATCTCACGGGCCAGCAAGCCTAGGCGAACTGACGAGCTCATGGTTCGGTGACAGATCGTACTGTAAAAATTAAGGTGGAGGGTGGAGAGATGGCTCACATTGTAAAGCACTTGCTACGCAAGGCCAACGTTCTGAACTCGAGCCCTGGAGCCAACTCCACAATCGTGTTCTCCGATCTGCACGAGTGTCACGGCACACGCATACAGTCAATAATAATTAATAAAAAATAAAACGCACTTGGGACAGAAACAGGTAGCTCTCTGTGAGTTCAAGGTCAGCCTAGTGTACAGTGCTGAGTTCCAGGAGAGCCAGAGGTACATAACAGAGAAACCTTGTCTCAAAAAGCAACAACAAGGAACAATAACAAAAAGAGCAAATAAAATGGAAATGATGGGGAAAGACACCTCAATTTGACCTCTGGCCTCTGCACCTGTGCACACACATACACTACACACTAGGACAGATGTGGTGCACACTCATCATCTTCACACTGGGGAGGTAGAGACAAATTCGGGCTGGCCAGCCAGTCTAGCAAAATCTGCAAGCTCAGGCCAACGAGAGACCCTGTCTCAAAACACAGGGCGGGTGGCTTCTGAGGAGTGGCATTCAAGGCTGGCCTCTGGCCCCCAGAAATGCACACACACACATGTAAAAAAAGAAGGAAGGAAAGACCCGACCCACACTCAATCCTGCTGACAGGACTCTTGCGGGTGCCATTCCTTTGTCACTCACGCCTACTCATGCAAAAGTCATTCTCTGAGGAAGCCATCTTTGAGGTCGATGAGGTCAAATGTGTCCGTAGTCATCTTTGAGGTTAAGTGTGTCAGTGTCACGTGTGTCCACGGCATCACGAGCCTTTCCTTCACAATATGTAATACACACACAGCTTCACACTCATGTGTTACTTTAGTATTTACCTCTCTCAATAGTGAGTGGAGGCGTTTGGGGCAAGGGCCATTTTTTAACTTTTATTTTCAGATTTTGTGGGTGTGACCCACTAGGTTTAATTAGTGTTGCTTGTACAAATATGCTTCATGGCTATTCACTGACACTCGGACTATCGATGGCTACACACATGACTAAATAAAACAACTACCTCTTTACTAGCAAAATATACTGCTGATAGTTCCTCTGAGAGGGACACGTTTGTAAGTCCAACACATAGCACAGGGCCCAGGCACAAGTGAAGTATTAAAAAATGTTTCTTAAATGAATGTTAACTTCCTACTAGGTAAAGTATTTCTTTCCTATGTTGATCCTAAAGTTAAAACGCTTAGGTACTATTTAAATTTCAAGGACGAAATCTCTAATGCATACCACCCACATCCTAAAGTTTTTGTTTTATTTTTGTTTGCTTTTTTGAGACAGGGTTTCTCTGTGTGTAGCCCTAGCTGTCCTGGAATGCACCCTAGAGAGACCAGGCTGGCCTCGAACTCACAGAGATCCGCCTGCCTCTGCCTCTCGAGTGCTGGGATTAAAGGCGTGCGCCACCACCGCCCTAAAGCTTTTTATACAGCATATTTCATTTCAGTGTCTAGCCTCCCTTACTCAGTGATGCTAGCCTGTGCAGTGTGGCACAGATAGCAGTGTCTAGCGGCAGAAACCTGGAATCCTAGGGCTCAAGACTCTGAGGCCTCCGGAGAATTCTGGGTCCATGGTGCCAGTCTGGGCTACACATACAGCAAGACTTTGTTTCCACACACACAAAGCGCGGCTGAACTTACCCCTATGGTAGAAGCCATATAGTCTGCACACATTTCTGCAAAGTCCCGCTCAAGAACACCATAGTAGAGGCCATAGAAGAGAAGAGAAATGCCAAAGTCCATCGCATCTTCTGGTTTAATCCTGCAAGGGAAGCAGCAAGGCAGTAAGGCCTGCCCTGAGACACACTGCCTGGGAATGTCAGAACTGACAGCAACTGCACAATATGTGAAGCTCCCATATGTGAAATAGGCTCTTGGGCCTCCAAGGAAGCAGGACACAGCAGGATAGGAGCTTTCTCTCTTCACTTATAAGTACTGCACATAATAGCTAGGTTTTCCTCGACTTTTCCATACAACCTAAACTATTTACATCACTTTTACAGAAAGGGTTTATCAAACATAGGTTTGGAGGGGTGTTAAAATTAGTAAATACTTACATATTTGTCACTAGAGAATAGTTGTACATGAACATATTCTGTATAATGTCAAAGTTAAATTTTGGTTCAAGCCTATTTACTAAGAAAATATGGATCTTTCCTATAACATTAGTTTAAAAACTCTAAGCACCAATAATTTGTAGTCTAGAGTCTATGAATGTTGTAGAAAACTATCTTGGCTAACATACTTTTACAAAGAACTCTATGTATTCACTCTTGGTTCTAAGTTATAATTCCCAAAGAAAGTGGGTAAGCTTAGTGGTCAGTGCTCATCTTATCCCACTCAACCTAATCAGCGGCATAAAAGCCGTCAAGTTCTGGCCAATCCTGCGCAACACCAAGGTTCAGTTCCTGACACCCATGTGGCCTCACAACTGTTTGTGATGTTAGCTCCAAGGGATTCACACCCTTTTCTGGCTTCTGTAGGTTCCTGCATGTACAAATGCATGCAAAACACTCATAAATACAAAGTTAAAATAGTCAGGATCTCATATAAATTAAGCAAGTAAAGAAACTAAGAAGAAACATCTATAACCTAACGTTCGCTAGGCTTGGTGTTGTCACCTTTAATCCCAGCACAGCTCTGGTTAAGACACGTGTTAGAGTCTAAATGAACTGGAATCTGTTTATTCTCTCAGCCTATTTTCCTCCTGCAAGGAAGAGATCTAGGAGCACCCATTCACTCTATAACATAGTACTTAGCTTTATTTGTCTTACAGTAAACTTTTAAACATTCTCCAGCCTACAGGGTACTGAGAAGTTAGTAGCTGTGGTGGTTTGAATGAGAATGCCTCCATAGGCTCCTATGCTTGATGCTTGGCCCCCGCTGGTGAAACTGGAAAGGATTAGGTGTAGCTTTGTTGAGGTTTCCAAAGCCTTTGCCAGGCCTAGATCTCTCTGCCCGCTGCCTGCAGGTCAGGAAGTAAGGCCCTCAGCTACTGCTCCAGCACTGCGCCTGTCTGCTCCGTCATGATGATAATGGACAAACTCTAGAACTCAGAGTAAGCCTGCACTTAGTTACTTTCCTTTATAAGAGCTGCCTTGTCACAGTGTCTCTTCACAGCACTGGAACAGTGACTAAGACAACGTCTGTCCAGCCATAAATTAAGACACAAGACTCTTCCCCCACCCCTGCTTTCCCTTCTTCAGTACTGAGGATTCAACTTTGCCCATCTAGACCTAAAGTTCCACCGCTAAGTTATAACCACAGTCCATTTTTTATTTTTAATTTTGAGACAGGATCTGGCCTGAGCCGCCCACACTGCCCACGCAGACACTGTACTTTCAATGCTGCTGAGTAACTGGAGTCACCAGGCCTGGCTGGGGCCTCCCCTTCATCTATAGTGCACGGTCAGTATTTCTTCCCCTAGATAACCACACTTCATTCTCTTCTGGACTACCGCTCACTCTGTTTTCCAGTCTCTATGTCCAGGAGTGCTTGGCTTCTGTGTCATCTGTGGGCAGGAGGACCTGGTGTACATCGTCTCGAAGGCTACGACAATATAAAGCAGTAAGCCCTCAGGTGAGTTTCTGCTAGTCCTAGTCTAGTAGGGCAGAAGTTACAAAGGTGAAAACTATTCTTAAAGGATAGAATTATGGGTAATTATGTTTACTTTTATTATGTTTTTACACTGAATACTAATTTTTGGAAAATATAAAAACAGTGATTTGGACTCTAGCCTTTGTCTGTATTTAGATATTCAATGTTCTCTGTCAGCAAAACAGCACAGAGGGCTGCCACCCATACCAGGTTCTCCTTTTTAATACCCAGAACCTCCAGCCATTCTTCTCTAAATAGCAGAAAAATGTAAAAGCAAAGGGTACTCACTTGAATAATAAGTTAAGACCAAAGAGGGTAAACATGACAGCCATGTAGCCAACAATGCCAGTGGCGTAGCTGATCTTATAGATTAGGAGGAACCACTTATAAACCAACCTAAAGGAAAGAGAAAAAAGTCAGCACAGCGGGCACAGAATGGTAGCCTCAGGGCCACTGGGTACCCAGAACCCCTTCTCACATCAATGGGGGATCAGGTTCAATGCTCAGGATTTGTTGGGCACCTCTGGTTACTGCGTTCACATCCTCAACTGTAGAAATACTCCTAAGTCATCAAACCCTCAGGAACATTTTGCATCTTCCTGGACCAAGAAAAGGGATCCCTAAATTTAGGTTAGTTGGGTGAGGAAGAAAAAAAAAAAAAAAAAAAAAACCTAAGAACCTTCAGAACACAACATGCAAACGCTTGCTATTCTTGTCAGAAGACAATCCAAGGAAGAGGACTCAGAGATAGAACTGGTTACAGTGTGTACGTGGGTCTGGTCAGGCTATCTGCAGCTTTGCTTCCATCCATAAGGCCAATCATACTAGGAATGATATTTTTAAAATGACATATTTTGTTGGAGAAGAAATGAGGAAGATACTCAAACAGTACCCCTGACTTAATGCATTGTGTATGGCTCGGGAAGAGTAAGGTTTTCACATCCTTGAGGGTAAGCAGTGCACCCCAGGATTTAGTGACAAGCAGTGTGGAATCGGAGTGTTGAACTCCAGCTGGATTCGGGAAGGAGAGAGGCTCTGTATGAACCAGGCTTCTGTAAATGCTGCAGCAGTCACTGTGCTGGATGGTACGATGTCACCTTGATACAAGCTAAAGTGATCCAGGGCTGGAGAAATGGCTCAGCAGTTAAGAACACTGGTTGTTCTTCCAGAGGTCCTGAGTTCAGTTCCCAATGCCCACAAGGTGGCTCACAACCATCTATAGTGGGACCTGATGCTCTCTTCTGGCATAAAGGCATGTGTGCATAAAGAACACTTATAGGAAGGAAGGAAGGAAGGAAGGAAGGAAGGAAGGAAGGAAGGAAGGAAGGAAGGAAGGAAGGAAGGAAGGAAGGAAGGAAGTGCTTCCATAAGATCAGGGCTGTAGGCCATTTTTCTTAACTAGTGATTGATGTGGGAGCGACCTACCTTCTGCGGGTGGGGTCATCCCTGGGCTGGTGGTCCTGGTTTTAAAAGAAAGAGCTGAGCAAGCCATGGGGAGCAAGCCAGTAATCAGCACCCTTTTCATGGTCTCTGCATCAGCTCCTGCCTCCACGTTCCTGCCTGGCTGAGTTCCTGTCCTGACTTCCTTCAGTGATGAACAGTGCTGTGGAAGTGTGAGCCAAATCAACCCTTTCCTCCCCAGCGAAGTTGCTTTGGTCATGGTGGTTTTATCACAGCAATGTAAACCCTGTCTAAGACAGTCACTAACCATCCTGTCTAAGATGACAGCCAATGAGCAGTCCAGGAATCCGTGTGAACAACCAGCCCAACCTTTCCTTCTTCCCGAAAGCTGGCTTCCTGTGTCTCGGCTGGACCCAGGGTGAACACTTAGGTGCCTGCTAGCCTTCCCTGCTCTCTAAGCAGGCTTCTCAGGCTACGGAAAGATCCCAACCACCCTGCAGTACTGAACTAAACACCACACACAGCCATCGGATTTACACTGGCCATAAGGGAAAGAGAAAGCAGAAAAGACACAGAATTTTAGACTTCTACTCATCTTACATTCGTAAGCTTTTACTTGCTAAATAAGCTGAGATGGGTCAGATCATATTTCTGGAATAAGCTCACTTCTTTGCACAAATGGTAAAAGCAAATTACCTATCTCACTGTGGTGTACGGAGCCTATTTCCTGTAACATACATGTTAAAGTTAGATGAATAAAGAATGTCATTTATGAAACTGGGAAGCACCATCAGTGTCATGTACTATTATAGAACAACTTTCCATATTGCTAACAGTACTTCAATCATCCTGTTTGCCATTGGTAACTTTATGTATTTGTGTGGCACAAGTGTGGAGGTCAGAGAGCAACTCTGCAGAGAAGGTACTCTCCTCCCTTTACTGGGTTCTGATCAAACTGGTCACCAGGCTTAAGCAAGTAGTATCTTTATCAGCTGCACCATCTCACTTTATGTAATGCAAGCTGCCCTTGAACTGGTTCTCTGGAGCCCAGTAACCTCAAACTCACAATCATGTCTCCTTGGGGCTCAGGCCTATATCACCAGCACTTGGTCACCCATATATGATAGTGTGCTTTAATTCTGGAAAATCGCTTTATATGAAATTGAGCATTTATCACATTTTTAGGGATGAACAATTCAAGGCTCAGAAAGGCAAGGCTCCGCTCTTCACAAGTTACAATGCTGGGTATTCCCACCCCGTATCCACCTGCTCTTCACAAGTTACAGTGCCGGGTATTCCTACCCTGGATCCACCTGCATTCTCACAGTGACAATCAGGAGGTCAGAGAAAGGTGTGTAGTAAACAGAACACACAAGGCACACAAGGAGTAGTCTGCAAACAGGGAGACTGTGGGTCAGGCTAGGCAGCTCCTGGTAGGCGTCAGACCATGCATGCCTCTCATGGCACTTACCAGATGCACTCCAACAGGTGCTTTCTTGACCCTCTCCTCCATTAAACCAAGCACTCCTTGAGGGCAGGGACCATGTCTTATCCAGTTCTGTACCCCAGCGCTCACCAAAGGGCCTGGCACACAGCGGGTGCTTGTTGAATGAATGAGTGAGAAAAATATCTTTTCCTGTTTGGTATGGATCTTAAATGACCCCACAAGCTGGTTGGGAGGATTAAACAAGAGACACACTTGGATAAAACAAAGGGTTATAGAAACAATGGCTTTGTCACTGCAAATTTGCTGATAGTCATTCACTCATTCAACAAAAATTCAGTGCCAGACCCTGTGGGGGAGACAGAGACTCAAAATAACAGCTTGTTGGAAACTGTGATGAGTTCAATAATGGCAACTGCAGGGTCTTAATAAACAGCATAATGGGAGACCTAATTCTGAGGTGAGAGAAGGGGCCGCAGGAAAGGTTGCTAACACGAGACCACGAGGATCACAGAGCCTTGTATGCGGTGTGGACTTTTAACACCAACAAATCAGGATGTAAAGCATCAAGTGCAGAACAGGAAAATATTGGCGATTCTGAAAATGGGGCTGGGGAGTGGGTCTCCCAATCAGCTTGTTTTAGAGAGGCCCTGCACCAATGCATTTTGGCAGACAGACCAAAAAATATGTATTTTTTTAAAAAAAGGCTTTTTGATTTCCATTCTAAACCCATCTTCCTCCCCTTCCATGCTTTCCAACAGATCACTTCGAGAACCCCAGGCTTGGGAGCTGGAGAGATGGCAGAGAGATTCAGAGCCTTTGCTGCCCTTGCAGAGGATCAAGTTCAGTTCCTGTAAGTCAGTTCAGAGTCTGAAACTCCAATTCCCGGGGATCTGGTGCCCTCTTCTGGGCTTCACAGGCAGTACATGCAAGCACACGGTCCACTTATATACACACAGATAAAACACTCAAACGGATATATATATATATTTTAATCTTAAAAAGAAGAAGAAGAAAGACACAGAGAGAGAGAAAACCAGGCTTTACCCAAATTCTTACCTTGGTGTTGTTTGTACGAGAGGTTTCCGTGTGGCTCGGAAGGTGACAAAGGCCGTGACAGCAGAGAAGAAGACCCAGATCACCAAGAACCTCCACCAGTGCAGCTTCACTGTGAAATAGAGGGGAACAACCCACATCTGAAAGAGGGTCACCATCTGAAACAAAACACAAGCACTTCAGCTCCAGACTGCCCCCTGCAGGCCCATCCAGAGAGCTCTATGTGTAGCCTATCTTCGCTTACATTTCCAGTTTCGTTGTTGCTTTGAAACAGGTCTCACTGTGTATTCCTAAGCAGTTTGGAACACACGTGATTTGTCTTCCTTTGCCTCCCGAGGGCTGAGATTAAAGACATATGCCACCAAACCCAGTTACATCTCGGTTTTGTGTAATGCGCCTCCGAGGAAAACTGGAAGAAACCCATGCTTCCCCTCAGGTACTTAGCCTTCCCGCCTTTCACGCATCCAGAGCCTTTGGTCTAACTCCCACTCAGGATTATCTGTGGTGCTTGGCTACATGAAACAAGTCTTGAGCTCACTCTTGGTTAACGACGAGGCCGTATTTACCTATTTACTACATACAGTACAAAGTGATGCCAGGGAACTGGAACACAAGAGGCATCAATAAATTTGGACAAATAAGTTAAAAGCAAAGCAAGACTAGACTGAAGTAAAATTCCCTAGCAGAGAGGCACATTTCCGCTTCAGTAGTGCTACCTGTGCAGCCTACAGGCACAGGTCTGCAGTCCCCACCACTCAGGAGGCTGGGGCAGGAGCACCGCTAGTTCAAGGCCAGTCTAGACAACTTGGTGAGACCCTGTCTCAGAGCAGGGCAAACGGTCTGAGGACACAAACCTATCTCAGCAGTCGAGTGTTGCTGAGCGCCGCAAGTCTGACCCAGGCCCTCAGCACTGCCTATCACACTTGTTAGGGGAAGGTACAAACGCATGAAACAGCTCTCATAACAGCATGCCTTCAATCCCAGCACTCGGGAGGGGGAGGCAGGTGAATCGGTGAGTTGAGTTTGAGGCCAGCCTGGTTCAATAAATAGATAAATAAATTTCCTTTGGGAATTTCTAGACTTTAAATATAATGTAAGTCACATATACAAGTTAAATTTTTTTCAACATTTAAAAAAATACAAGTGATATTAATTTTAATAACATGTTTTACTTAGCTCAATATACCTTAAATATTCTCACATGTAAATACTATTTCAGCATACACAAAACATTCAAGTCGCTATTTGCGCTAGGTAGTGATCTCAGGACCCTGTTCATGACTACCTGTGAGAAATGTCCCCAACCACAAAATGCTAAAATCATTAATTATTTTACTTATTTTGGACTTTGAAACCAGATCAGCATTAACAGCACATTTCAAGCGCTCCTAAGTCACAAGATGGGTAGCTGCTACCGTGAGTGGCGCAGCACAGAGCTTGAGTTTACTTCTCTCTTAGTCTTCTATGGTCAGAAAATACCTAGTTGGTTTTTATCTGTTTCTCGGAAATTCTTGTCTGTTTTCATTTATTTATTTGTTTTTAGTTAGTATACAAAGTAGTGAGTTTCATTATATATATATATNTTTTTTGAGCAAGGGTCTCATTTATCCTACATTGACCCTGAACTTCTAATGCTCTTGTCTCCACCTCCCAAGTGCTGGGACTGCACGTGATACACCACTATACCTGGTCTAGGGAATGCTGGAAATGGAACTCCGGGTGTTGTACATACTAGCAACTGTTCCTGCCTCCCTCTTAAGCCATTTTCATACATATAAACTTAGTTCCTATGCCCTTAATTTGTGTATATGTATGTGGTCCATGTATAATGTATGCAGGTGTGCTCACCTATGTCTGAACACACGTATGGAAGCCAGAGGTTGGCATCTAGTATCTTCCCTTATCTTCTCCTCTGCCTTATTTATTGAAACCCTGTTTCAATGAACCTGGAGCCCACTTTTTAGGTGGACTGGCTAGAACGTCAGTGAGGCCCAGGGTCCAGCTTGGGGATCACAGAAGCATGATGGCGTTCCTGGCTTCTATTTGGATGCTAGGGATCCAAGCTGAGATCCTCATGCTTCCTCAGCAAATACTTGACCTACTGAGCCACCTTCCAAAGTCCCTACCTTAGTGTTTAAGTATTATTTTACAGATTAGGACAGAGAGAGGCCTGGCAGTAGGCACACACCCTTGGTAGGCAGAGGCAGGTGGATCTCTGAGTTCAAGGCCAGTCTGGTCTACAGACCAAGTTCCAGGACAGTCCAGGACAGGCTAAAGAGAGAAACCCTGTCTTGAAAAACAAACCAACAACAACAAAAGAAACACTGGGAAAGGCCAAGAAAAGACATGGTACCAAACAAGCAAAGACTCCAACTGAGAGTGGGAAGAAGGCTCTTCACTGAGCCTTCACAGGCTCACTGGGACTGTGGACAAACAGCAGACACAGACGCTAACACAGAACCACACCAAAAGGTCTGGCCATGCTACCTTCTGTAAAGAAAGAAGAGGAATTCCTGCTGTTTCAGGCTTTGAACATCTGGGATATGGTATATGGTACAGAAGCAGCCATCCTGCTCTGTTTTTTTTTCCCCTTGAAATGTAGATATATATATTTAGAAACGTTTGCTTAAGTTCTTTGAGGCACAGTTTCTCTGTGCCACATCCTGGCTGTCCTGGAACATGTAACATGCTCTGTAGACCAGGCTGGCCTCAAACTCAGAGATCCGCCTGCCTCTGCCTCCCATGTGCTAGAACTACAGGCGGAGTCACCTAGAAAAGTTTAAAGTAGAAAGAGACAAATTTAAAAAAACCAATACAAAAAAAAATCTGTGGTAGTTTGAATGTAAATGAAAGTAACTGGCTCCCATAAGCTCATAGGTAATGGCACTAGTAAGGGTGACTTTGGTGGAAGTGGGATCTGAGGTCTTATATATGAATATATATATATATATTTTTTTTCAAGCCATGTCCAGTGTCTCAGTTCACTTTCTGTTGCCCGCAGGACCAAGATTTAGTTCTTTCTTCAGCACCGTGTCTGCCTGCATACCACCATATCCCACCCAGATGAAAATGGACTAAACATCTGAAATTGTAAATCACCCAATGAAACATTTTCCTTTTTAAGAGTTGCCGTGGTCAAGGCGTCTCTTCCTAGTGAAACCCTAACTAAGACAAACCCTGAACAAGAAAAACTACATAAATAATGAATGAGTTCTCAATAACACTGACTTTGGGGCCAACACAAGTCTGAAAGGCCAAAGGAGAAACAGCATTACTGTCGTCTGGACAACAGCTAGTTAATTAAATGGGGGGTGGCACTGTTAAATCACTGAATCTGGTTTTCCTCGGAATTTCAGAGAATACACACTACACAACAATGTATAAAATACATGTTTTTTTTTTTTCATACACAGTATAGGACAAGCTGCACCAGAAACAAATCAGTACAGGCATAAAAATCTCAGTAGGGGAAAAACATATTCTGTAGAATTCTGCCAAACAAAGGAACTGGGCAAAGCTAATGAAGGGGAATTAAGGAATGAATTATAAATAATACTTATGCCAAGATACTGTAAATTATGAAAAGAAAATTTTAACTTTTTCTTTTTGAAACGGTTTCGCTGTGTGGCCCACTGTTCTGGAACAGACCAGGCTTGAAATCACAGAGATCCACCTGGCTCTCTCTGCTCAGTGCTGGGATTAAAAGCAGTGTGCTGCTACTATGCCAGGAAAATGGTCCAGCAAAGGCCAGCCATTAGATAGTTATCTATAGGCCCAATAAGCAGACATACCCAGTTGCTTCTATGATTTGACAAGACATGGCTAAACCAGCCTGTGGGGCAGAGATGTGATTGGCAGTTTCCTCCTACTGGACCCCCTAGCAAACGGTCATGCTAACTCTCACAGGTAACCATCACATCACTAATATGTTACTAACCTTTTAAAAAAAAGTGTCTCTGTGTCCCTCCGGCCTCTGGGTTCAACTCTTGTCTTTCAGAGGACACTAAACTAACTACCAGTGTCCTAAGACTGGGATCTTAAAACTATGGCTTCTTTCCCAAGCTGTCCCTCTTCAAATAAGAACTAGTTAAGCAATTTCACAAACACTTACTAACAACACGCTAAGGACTGGGGTATCCTACATGAATAATAAGGCCTCTTCAAGAACTTAAGTCTATTGAAGAAAAGCAAAAACTTAACTAATTCAAAGTAACTCTAGAATGGTATAAGTCTTGGTCAACGAAGTACAGAAGTGAGGCACTTTATCCGCAGTGGGAAAACCAAGAAAAGCTTTCCAAAAAGGCATTACTTTGTCTAATGGCCTCCTAAGCGCAGAACCCAGGAAGGTCTGCTGCTCATCCAGCCCAGGAAGTAACAGCTGTTCAGGGAGACTTGAAAACAAGCTCTATTTGGCAGCAGACAGAAAAGAAGAAAGTTGCTCCTTGGAGATCTATAAAAATAGGACCGATGCTTCTCCAGGCATAAACGTCTCCCTTCTCTAACATCCCTGAGGGACTAAGGTGTGAGTAATATTAGAATCCGGATAGATGGTGAACACTGAGCTACAGAGAAGCCAAAAGGCAAGTCTGACCTGGAGAAGGCTTCCAATCCAGATCTTGTCCCTGAAAGGGGGAGGTAAAATGGTGATTTGACTAACAAAATGGGGCTTGTAAAATACCTGAGATTCGCCTGGGCAGTGAGGCGCACGCCTTTAATCCCAGCACTCAGGAGGCAGAGGCAGGCGGATCTCTGTGAGTTCGAGACCAGCCTGGTCTACAAGAGCTAGTCCAGGAAAGGCTCCAAAACCACAGAGAAACCCTGTCTCGAAAAACCAAAAATAAATAAATAAATAAATAAATAAATAAATAAATAAATAAATAAAATAAAAATAATAATAATAATAATATAAGGTGCCTGAGGTCCAAGGAAAGGACTCGGGCAAAGCCATTAAGGGAAAAAACTCAGGAGAGCTAAAAGCAAAAATGACCGCTGCAGGTAAGACATGATAGTTTCCTAGGCCTTTGAGAGAAAAAAACAGGAGTCAGGTTTGGGGACGTGGAAAGTTGACTCTGAGGCTAAGAGCACTTGTTACTCTTACAGAAGACCTCGGTTTGGTTCCCAGCACCCACATGGAGGCTCAAAACTGCCTGTAACTGCAGTTCCAGGGGAC